CCTCCAGGCCTGGCCTCAGACGGGGACCCCGGTGACCCGCGTCCAGGCGAGGGAACGCCAGATTCAATGTCAGCATCCATCATAAGGGGTCTTCGGGCTGCGCTTTGTCTGGTTCCTCACCTAGGACCTGTCTGCCATGGGTGACCCTACCAGGGGCATAAAGCCCCAGACAGCATAGCTCCTAGGATCATTGGGACACTCAAACCCCTCCACCACGATAAGGTAGCAGCCCAAGGAGAGGATACCTGGTGCTGTTTTTATTTATTTATTTTTTTTAATGTCAATTTAGGAATTTTCAAAAGCTCTGGTAACAACTTGTAGCTTACAAAAATCTAATTTACAGCAAGTTTACACCCTTATTTTTTTCTATTTCAAACCAAGCCTGCAGTATTGGTGATGAAGTTTTGACAGACAGAGTTAATTCTGAGTAATATGGCAACAATCAAGCTAGAAGATGCTAAACAAGGATTTTTGAGATTCTGAAATCACCTCAGAAAAGTTCACACACATGCATGGCTTTAAAAAAATKTTTTTTTTTTTTCCAGGTCCACTTGTCTCTAAGAGCAGCGTAGCAGATGTGTTGGACAAGGGATCTGGAGCTCTCCTTATTTTTGACTGTGAGTTTCTTTGACATTTTGTGTGCACAGATTTCATCAGATTGTAGTATTTATTCCAGTTTTTTTTTTTTTGTTTCATAAGTTTTTAGTCTGACTTAATGAAAAGCAAAATGAAGACTGTGTGCTGGAACTGCAAAAATATACTATAGACCAGGGGTTCTTAACCTTTTTGACCTCGGGGCCCAATTTGTTGAACACAAAGTGGCACGAGGCCCAGTAAGACATTACCAATGTATGGATCAAAATGATTATTATTCTAAATTTTGGTTTGATTTGTGTTGAATAACTAAATTAAATACACTTACAGTTTAAAAGTAAAATTCCTGTCAAATAACCGCAAGACATGATTATGACAAAAAATTATATTGTAACCTACCCATAACAATTATTTAAACAAATACAACAGTCACTCAACAGACCACTCAGGCTTATCAACACAAAAATATATATTTTTAACATAGACAATAACAAAAATAGACAGTTCAACAAATTGTTGTCATAAAATAAGTGCATTCAAAATGTTCGATGTAAAAGTTTCAAATCAAAAAGCAACAAAAATAAATTTGATAAATTGCAAATAAAAATTTGCAATTTATGAAATTTAAACATTTTAAACTTTTGCATGGTAGAATCAGAAACTGCTATTCTTATTAGTGACAATAACAGTAACAACAGCTTTTTGACAAGTTTAAAGTTTCTTTAAGACAGCTACATTCAAAATGTTTAAAAATAAACTACAAAAAATAATTTGATGAAGTGCAAATTAAAATATAGTTGTATCTTCAAATGTATTTGATAATGTTTTTAACTTTTAAAAAAATTGCATGGTAAAACCAGAAGCTGCACTTCATATTAGTGATAAACTTTGGCTTTTTTTGATGGGTTGCYTTTCTACTTTACATTTAAAATAGGTTTCCACTCTCAGCAGGTTTGTAAGGTTCTTCTTCTACATATTAAAAAAGTTGTCAAACATCTGAGTGGCRCACTACCRCTACTAGTGGTGAGAAAGTGTATTKCAACTTMTTTTAAATCAATGCGGTCCCGCGGCTCAAAGGTAAAAACTGTTGTGCTTTTGAGGCCCTCAAGTTGGCGCTCTGCTATAGACACCTATATTTATTTAATTACACAGTAYGTTATTTGAACCACTTTGATCCCCAGATTGTACCTAAATAAGTTTTCTGGTAGTTTGCTGAGAGGGTTTTCAAAAGATTTCTGCACTCACACTAAACCAATCAGGTCCCCTTCAGTTGGGGGCAAAAAAAACCCCTATAGAAGTAAAAATTAGTTTGTCATAAAATGAAGAAAAAAACATACTAGTTTCAAAATTTGTTCCACTTCTACTTGTCTAGTATCGACTGAGTAAATTATGTTAAAAGAATAAATCTGATTAGTTGACGTCTTGATCACAGATGATGTAACATTTGCTTTGTGTTTCAGCAAACATTTACGACGGGGATGAGCTGATCTGTTATAACCAGTTCGCAATTTTTGTCGTTGGATCTGGAGGCTTTGGAGGAAAGAGGAACTCAGAAAAAGCTAAAGTRTGTTTCTTAACTTGCGACATCATGGTTTCAAATGGGGAAAATACCTGACACGTTTGTTTTATTTGTAGCTTTCTACATCAAACCCACCAAGTGGTACTCCAGCTTTTGTTTATTAAAACTGGAGTACCTCTAAAATGAACTTTACCTTTTTTCTGTTTTGTAAAGATTAAGCCCCCAGCAACTGAAATTGGGCAAGAATGAGAACATTTTATTTATTTATTTGTTTGTTTGTTTGTTTGTATATGATTCAAAAGGGTTAATGAAATAAGGTAACATAAAGGGGAGGTAAATATGCTGCTGTCATCATTCAAATTTTTTTTTTTACCAAAACATTTCTCAGTTTCAGGCTAGTTACATATTTCATCTTGATAAAAAATAGTTTTTTTTTAAGAGCATTTATAAACACTGCATGATATATTTACTCTTTTAACTTTTTTTTGTCTTGTCTAATATCCCCCCAGGTCACTCTGCCGCCTCCTAAACGTGCACCAGATGCTGTGGTGGTTGAATCAACCACGATAGACCAAGTGAGTCTTTCTGTGTGGGTTTTCGATGCAGAATAAATCAGCTGAAGTCATGATGTAAGGGTGAAAATAGAACATGTTTTTATCCTTTTTTTTCTTCTGAAATAAGTTGAAGACAAAATGGGAGTGTGTAGCAGAAGAGATAGAAAGGTGAATCAAAGGCTAAMTCCCTGAAGCCGTTTTAAATGGCTGCAACTGTTTGACTTCAAAGACTTTCCTTTTTTAGGTGTTTCTGTGATTAATTTTCTCACGTGTCTGCGTAGGGGGGGAGTTTAAGGCTTTATGAATTAGATATAAGTCTTAAACAATGTCTGTCTGCCTCCCTGCGGTTCCAGGCTGCCTTGTATCGTCTGAGCGGAGACCTGAACCCTCTTCATATAGACCCCAACTTCGCCGCCTTGGGAAGTAAGCGTGCACACCCCTCACTTTGAACAAACTCATTTATTTTGGTCAGGACTCGGTCTTCCTTTGGGAGTGTTTTAGTCAAATGAAGTCTTTTCATCTCATTTATACTTGAACACGCCGCATTTAAAAATGCTCTTTGGTCAGAATTTAAGGTTCCCATCCTGCACGGCTTGTGCTCATTCGGCTTTGCTGCGAGACACGTCCTGAAGCAGTACGCCAACAACGACCCGTCAAGGTTCAAGGCTATAAAGGTGAGGCTGACCTGTGCTAAAAGCCCTGTTGCATCACATCTCTGCCACTAACAGAAAACTAAARTAGCTTATAATTTTCCTAATCTGCCTTTTTAAATCAACGTTTTCTAACAGGTTTGCTCTCATTTTTCTCTGCTGGCTGCACTTTGTGAAATCCCTTTGTAGGTTTGACATTATTATAAAACATTGGGATTCTCCTTTTAAGGCTGAAATTCCCAATGACATCCCTCCAAACCAATAAAAATCAAGTTTTCCAACCTGTGCTCTCACAAACAAAGCTAGTTTCTAAAAACAAATTGGCAATTTATCACCAGGTTAGCAAAAAACTCCAAATACTTTTGAAACGTTTGTGATGGAGAACTGAAGAAAAAAAAAGGTAACTTCATAATAAAAAAAAAATCCTCGTCGTGACTCATTTTGTTTGCACAGGTCACATTTTAGCTTTTTATTCCCCCTTTCATTAAAACTGTTTAAATCATTTTTGTCCCTTTTTTATTTTGAAATTTGCTGGGAAACTGTGTGGAACAGGCAAATAGGATTTAATTTTAGTACATTCCTGTAAAGCAGAAAAACATGAATCTACACAGGTTAAAACCATTTCTGTGCAGTTTAGAGAATCTGATGAATGATAAATTCATAATAAAAAAAGATAATTTTTGCACAGGACAAATGTTTTTTAGGATGGTCAAAAAATATATATATTGCTTTTCTTTTTTAGGTCCGCTTTTCAAAGCCGGTGATACCAGGTCAGTCGGTGCAGACGGAGATGTGGAAGGAGGGCAACAGAATCTACTTCCAGACCAAAGTGCGTCTCATGTAGGATCAAAATGAGTCAGAGCCGTTTGTAGGGATGGATCTGATCTGGTCTCTTCATGCAGGTGAAAGAGACTGGTGACATTGCACTGGCTGGGGCTTATGTGGACTTACATGGACCAGTAGAAGCCTCTCCAGAAATTCACCACCAGGTACCTCAGGCATCATCACTGATTTTTTATTTTTATTTAGCAGACTGTGTTTTCTTTGATCAAATAATTTCTTGGTTGTATTGATAAGGTACTGACCTCTGGTGTTTTTAATTGTTTGTAGCAGGAAGTCGTTCACACAGTCATTGCTGAAGTCCTTTTTATTGGCTTCTTGAGAACCCTTGATTGTTTTTATTTATTTATTTTTTGTTTTGAAGGCGCTACAGGGAGGAGGTCTTCAGAGCGAGCTAGTGTTTGCAGAGATCGGGCGTCGCATTAAAGACTTGGGCTCAGAGATGGTGAAGAAGGTGAACGGCGTGATTGGCTGGGAGATCACAAAGGATGGCAAGACAGCCGCTCAGTGGAGTGAGTTCACATTTAACACCATCATCATCATCATCATCATCGTATGGCGAGGAGAGTCGTTTAGTTGTTGTTCCTCTTCTTTAAAGAATTTATTTTTGCTGCATGATTTTATAAAACCTTTTAACCATTTTAGTTTTATGTTTTAAAACGTGCTGCTGGGATGCTGACAATGTAAAAAATGTTAAAGATAAAAGCCGAAGAAACTTTTTAGCTCCTCCTAACATTTATTCTGTGTAAAAGACCCTTAATGAGTTCAGATTTTAATGAAATGTCAGTAAAAGAGTAAAGAGTAATTCACAAGCTGAAGGTTTAATTTTTATTTTATGTTTATAGCTTCATCTAAGAGGGAAAATAGTTGAACTTTCAAAGCTTTGACTAAAACCCTCGGGTTTCAAAAAACCTTATTTATTTTTTTCATAAAATAAGACTTCAATAGTTGAAAAATCACACTTAATATTTATGTTCTATGCAGCTTTTTTTAAAATCCTGGTTCAGCAGCTGTTTTTTATTTATTTATTTATTTTTTTAAGGTTTTTTAATGTCATGTTAGAATTTGTAATTTACTGGAAAACACGGTTCAGGACTCATCCTGCACCCAAGGGACTAAAAGGCTAAACTCTCAACCAATTAAGTGCTTTCGCCAGATTTCAAAGTTCAGCAGAGATGAAGCAGAACGATGAGTTGTCCCTGAATCTGAGCAATCAAAGCAGGATGAGCTGCCCTTTTTTTTCCCTCTGGGTCGGTTTGACCTCGCGACCAGAAAACCTTTGATTTATCAGTTAATCCGACTGTTGGGTTGTAAACTTCAACAGCCTTTTTTGAGGGAAAACGCAGAATTAAAGACCAATTTAAACAAGTTGCTCTTATGTTTTAACAGCTAAAATTAAAAGTTTTTACAAACTAAAGCTAAAACAGCTAAACTTGCAGAGACAGAGATGAGGAAGCCTTGCTGAGAAGTGGAGCCTTTTTATGATTCTATCTTCTGTCACCCCTTCCTTTTTTTATTTAATTTTTTTTTGTCTCCCACTGCTCTTCCCTGCAGCCATTGATCTGAAGAACGGCAGCGGCTCTTTGCACAAAGGGCCGTTCGGCGGGAAGGTGGATTTGACCTTCACTGTGTCTGATGAGGACTTCATGGATGTGGTGACGGGGAAGATCCTGCCTCAGAAGGTAAACGTGCTGCTGCTGGCTCCACTTCTGGCTTTGAAGCAGTTTTTTTAATTTTTTTGACTCTCCCCGGGGAACATTCGAACTGAAGTTTTATGCAAAAGAATATTTAGAATCCCGTCATTTTGATGTGAAATCACTTCCTGCACGTCCCGACGACGGCGAACCCCCCTCCACCTTCAATCTGTGCCGACGCCCTCACTTGATCTCGCAGCGTCAGATAAATTATGGAAGCCATGATCTCTCGGAGCGAGTTCAGAAAGCACTCGGCGCAGACAATCAATCGGCTCTACTTGTTATGTCTGTAGCATCCCATCTGTCAGTGGGAGTGGCCATCGCTGCGCAGAACTTACATCCTTCCAGGAGCGGCTGGTATTGATCGGAGGCTCGGGTGTGTGCGTGTTCACAAAGAGGGTCTGAAGGATGGGGTGCTGGAGATCCCTCAGGCGGGGTCTTTTCCAGTCTCTGATGATGGAAGGAGCAGCTGGGGGAGAGATGAGTGGATGGGGTTGGAATGGAAGCCGCTAACTGCTGTCCGGGGTCATCACATCCCCGTCCTGTGATTGATTATCGCTGAGGAGAACAAAGAGGCCCATCAGAGGGTTGGTTGATGCAGGGAAGGGAGGATCAGGTCTGGACTGGCTGCTCCAAGACCACCTGGAACCTCACAGTAGTGTTGTAGACAAGACCACCTAACCCGAGACCAAGGCCAAAGTGTGCTAGACCAAGTTGAGGCCAAGTCCAGAAAAAACTAACTTATTGTCATCAATCATACAGTATACTGTACACAGCTTAATATTTATAGCTAATATTAACTTCTAAATCTTTTTCTTTGAGGGTCGGGTAAAAGGTTTTGGTCCAGAGGCAGATTGATGCTAGCTAGCTAATGTTAGCACTTACACATAGCTTAAGTTTCTTTGTGCTTTCTTTCTAAGTAACAATAAAAGACATAGTCCCCACCGTCTCTGAAACTGAAGCACTGCAGAATTTACAGGTCTGGATGGTTTACAAATATTTTGTGTGAAAGTAGCGCTAACAAAAACGCATAATTAGCAATGAGACACAATTAGATTTTAATCGGTACGTTTTATATCCAGTGAAGGCACGGAGGTTGACGAACTGGACAACATTCTGGCATATCAGTGGTATTTCCACTGTTGTCTTAAAATAAAACTCCGAAACAAGAGTACAAATGTGGTCGAGTCCAGTGACACGAGACCAGAGTTCTACAACGCTCCCTCACTGGCTGTGTCTCAATTCATGGGTTGCAGCCGACGTTTTTCCCCTTACATCGCTGCCCCATGCCGTTGGCTGTCCCAATTTGTAGGTGTCCACTCACGTGGCCGACAAAACCCTGAAAACGAAGGCTGCATCTGGCCGACGATGTCCCAGAACTCATTGTGCCGTCAGCAAATTAAACAGGAAAACAAAGATGGTGGAGGTTTTTTTAAGACTGAGTTTGGAAATTCATCAGACCGAAGTACGTAAGATGAGCAACTTAGCTGAAGAAACCTTTGTTGCAATGAGATGTTGACAAGTACTGATGCAGAAGCTAAACCCAACATTTAACTTAAATGTTTTTTTATTAAAACAGATTTTTGTGAAGTTATACTTTGAAAAAAAAACTGAAGTGATAGTAACGAGGCAGCACATGGTCATGCAAACATAAGTCCTCTGTAGACGGTCTCATTTCACAGCCTGCGGCCCACGTAGACTGTCCATTGACTGTGGTGTACGTCGGTTGCAGCTCTTGAACTGAGCCACGGTCTGTCTTTACTCTTACCTGCTCCAGTGCTCGTGTGTTATCAGGGAGAGAAGTGACTCGTGTGTCTTTTTGTTTTCCTTTTTCATTAGGCGTTCTTCGCTGGCAAGCTGAAGCCTAAAGGCAACATCCTCCTGAGTCAGAAACTGGAGGTCATCCTGAAGGATCACGCCAAGCTGTGAGCTCCCCTGCCAGCCAATCAGACGCCTCCAGGAACTAAACTCACCGTACCAGCTCCGTCCTACTTCTTGCCTTAAGATCCGCACGCTGTGCGCAGCGTTACACTTCGCCTCTCGTGGGACACTGGGAACAGTCACCCACCGAGACGAGCAACACTTCAAGGTTGAATTCTCTCTCATAAATTCAGTTTCGCTGTCGACAAAAGACTCCAAAGAGTCTCAAACAGAAGATGAAACGAGTCATTTTTGTCACATAGTCGTCTGCGGCAGAAATAAACACTTCAATGTTTCCAAACTTTAACGAACCACTAGGTTTTGATATAACTTAGTGTTACTTTTTGATATTACACCTAATTACCATTAAACTGAATAAAGTAAAAAAATGAACTGAATCTGTTTAACTTCAGCCTTTATAAAAGTAATAAAGCTATAATTTAGTGATGTTATAACTACTTTACTAGACTGTTTCATATCTGTAAATCACTGCAAACAAGTATTTAACTAATAAACTTTGATATAACTAAAGTTTGTGCAATTGTAATATAACAATGACCATTGTAATAAAGCTAAATTAAAAACAAAAGGACCACCTTTTTTTCCTTTTGGATCCGATTAAACAACTTTTCAGTGATATTTAGGTGCTCCATCATCACCTTTTTATTAAAATTAACTAATATAAAAATGTTTTTGCTCATTTAGGTTTGAGAAAATTCTTACATTTAGAGGTATTTTTTGGAAAACGTGCTTGACGTTTTGGTTTAAGTTTGATCAAACTGTACAAATATGACATCTGTGTTGGTTTTGCCGAGTTGGCAGCGTTGATCGCCTCAATCTCACAGTTCCAATCTCAGTTCATTTGGTCGGAGTGGATCTTTGATATCCTGCAGTTTCCACCCACAGCATGCAGACGTGTAGCAGGTGAGTCATCGTTTGGCCGAAGACGTGAATCATCTTCTCTCGGCGTTAGTCATGTATGAATAAATTGCAGCCATTGACCAGCATTAGTTTCCATGCAGAGTTGCGTACACCACACGATGCAACATGTTTAAAGACATAAAGCTTATTTCACGCTGCAAACGTGCAGGAAAAAAAAAACTGTACCACCCGCTTCATTTTCCATTATTATTTTATTACTTCAGTACATTTTTCCTGTAAATATTGCAATGGTTTCCATTAGAAAATAAATTTATTCTGATTTATTTCACATTTTAAAGACTTGAAAAAGAATAAAGCGAAGTCTTTCATTTAGGCAAGCTGATTTAGTTTGATCTTGTGCAACTTGACACAATATGCGTAAAGAGATGAGCACTATTTGGTTTAAAAAAATTATAATTTATTCTCCAGTTTCTGTAGGAGTACATACTATTGGCATATATAGAACTGATTTGACTCTCCAGGTCCTGCAGGAGTACACAGGACTCCTGGTTTGATCAGTTGAAACTCCTAAATATGAACATAGGTCATAAATATACCCGTTTGTACAGAATAATTAGAAAGAGGCTTCTGATTACCAACATTTATTTACAACTAGCTGTGATTAAACTGAAAAGTTTTCCTTCTCCATGTGTACGTTTCCTTAGAGCAGCACAAAAAGCTTCTATGGGTAGTGATCTAAATCAGCTTAATCCACTATGCAGGAGCCTGTTACTTATTCAAGTGGAGGATACATCACAGCACGCACCGGCCATGAGCTTATCCAAGTACGTGCTGCGTTTAGATAAGACAAAAACAATATAATTAAAAAAAAGGCTGACAACTGATTTGAGGAAGCAAAATAAACAAGCCTGCTAATGAAAATAACTTCAAGACAAACTGTTGTTTCTGAGGCAGTTGTCAAAAATGGTCCAAGCCAAAAAAAAAAAAAAAAAAAAAAAAGAAATAAAAACAGAACTTCTATTAAAACACATTTCCACTTCGACCCCATTTCATTGTCATCTGCAATAATTCCTGCTTCATACATCAATAACAGAATCTACAGTATCTACAAAAGCCTCATATTAAAGTTACTTTTTGCGCATCAATAAGAAGCACGGTGCCTGGCTGGCAGAAGGAGTTGTGCATATTAAGAATACCTCTGGTTAAACTTATGGAATAAAACTAATTCTTATCACTAAAAGATTTTGACTGCTGTACCGCCACCCGGCCCTTTATAGATATGCAATACGCTACACGGACTTTAGCTTAACTTAGCTGATGTGCAAATACATTAAGAACAGGTGCACACACTGAAACTCAAGCCACAAAGTTCTACCACCTCCATTTAGGGAAAGATTTGCTTCCTGGCACAGATAAAAGAGAATCAACACTATTCTTCATTACAGAGGGAGGAATCAGTTCACCTGGCTCGGTCCAGTTATGTAGCATCTCTACAACTTGTGAGCGACACGTCATCGCTCTGATTCTGTTTGTGCAAAAGTGAGAAAGAAAAAAAACAAAACCATGCTGGTGCGGGCTGGCAACAGCAGATCTGAACACAAACAAGATGTGCTCGCCTCACGTAGGAGTGTTAGTGTTTTATTCTCTCTCCATCAGAAAGCAAGAAAACCAGTTCCTGAAATGGCAAAACTGCTGCCTTTGATATGAATCTGTTTATTTGCCCCGCTTTATTCAACTGATCTTGTGTTCAGTCCAGTTAGAGAGGCGTTAAAGGCCAAACTAAAATCTGGATTTTTCTTACAGTGAGGGTTGATCGCGACAAAACAGATGGTCCCTCTGCTTGGTGACGTGCTCTGCATGAAGTCCGCCGGCTTCACTGAGTTGTGCTGTGAAGCTGCAGTGACTCCAGGAAAAAAACAACTTTGTCCACTCTGGTTAATTTATTATAATAAAGATGATACTGTAAAAAAAAAAAAAAAAACTTTTTACTTCATCCAACTCCTGCAGTTTTGCTTTCTGAGCAAAAAAAAAAAAGGGAAAAAAAATGAAAATAGTTCTCCATGTGCTGCTCACTGGACACTGAATTGGCAGTTTGAAGCAGAGAAACTACAGCTGGGTTTGTTATTTCTATATTTTCCCTCTGTTCAGTTTGCTTGGACGTGCTCGCAGTTCTTACCCTGTGCTCACTTTAGCTACAGCTTTATAAAAAATGTTCCTGTGCTTCATGGTAAAAAGAAAAATATCTCAGTGGATTATTTCACTGAAGGTTCACAAGCTGTCTCTCAGTCACCGTCAGTAAACCCTATAAAGTGTTCTTGTCTCTCCATGAAGGTGTTGTGTAAAGCTCACGTCACGCGTGTGGACATCTCATCAGAACGAAGCCGCTGCCTTGCTTCCAACGATCGTGACGACACTTTCCACAACACCACCGGGAGTTTCCCCTCGCTTCTTCCAGCTGAGCAGCTTTTTCTTTTGTTTCCCCCTGGATCTATATGAAGAACTTGACGTCCCTCTTGCTGCTGTCGCTGTCCACGGCTGCGAAGCGGTTGGGGAGGAGCCTCAGCTTCATGGTCCCGTCGGCGCCGCATGAGAAGATGTGGTTGGCCGGTCCCACCTCGATCTGCATCACGCCCGTGCCCAGGTTCCTGAACAGCGACTGGCGGGCGTGTTCGTTTGGGAAGGTGTAGAGGAGACACTGAGTGGTGAGGCTCCACACCTGAGAGGAAAGAGCGGGAAAATCAGTTTTTAGAAACTTAAACAGAAATGCATTTTTTTTTCTATTAAAGGGATCCACGATCAGTTGTGACATTAAACTTTATTTGATAAACATTTATTTTAACTGTAAAATAAAGACTAAAAATACTGTAGGCTGTTTAGTTTTGTAAATTTTAAAAAAAAAATTTTTAACAAGGACGGAGCCATTTTATTTACACGCAAAGCATTCTGGGTAAATGATGACATCATCTAGGTCATCRGTGCGAGGSTGCTAGYGAGCTAYATCCACCCTGAAGGTTAATCTTGGACAAWATCTGATRATYGRCTCTTTTAAATGAAACCAGAGAGCGTTGACAGAGAGGAGAAGGTAGAAATGACTCAGCCTGTAACTGAAAAYATGGATGGAGGACAACAGAGCTGCTTCATGGAAGAAGAACCTCAGCTTAGCCTGTTAGTCTTCGCGCTAGCCCTCACTCTATATTGCCTTATACAGTATGTATTAGCTCAGCGCTAGCGCGACAAATTTCATCCATCCATATTTTCAGTTACAGGCTGAGTCATTTCTACCTTCTCCTCTCYGTCAACGCTCTCTGGTTTCATTTAAAAGAGTCGATCATCAGATATTGTCCAAGATTAACCTTCAGGGTGGATGTAGCTCACTAGCAACCTCGCACCGATGACCTAGTTGATGTCATCAATTTCCCAGAATGCTTTGCGTGTAAATAAAATGGCTCCGTCCGTGTCATATTTTTAAACATTTAGTTTAAAAATTATAAACTGAACACCCAACAGTATTTTTACAGTCTTTATTTTACAGTTAAAGTATATGTTTATCATATAAAGTCTAATGTTACAACTAATCAGGGATCCCTTTAACACTAATGCTAAGAGGGCTGCAGGTTCTGTTCGGCAGCTGAAAACTCTCCTCACGGCTCAGAAGTTTTGTCTAAAAAATGGTCCCAGCTCCTGTTTGTGTAACCTTTGATAAATGATACAATGCTCTATTTTTAGCTGTGCCAGCAGCATGACTGAAGGCTGGATGCTGCTTTGTATGTCAGCTGTTTTCACCACTTTAGTCCACAAATAAATAAATAAATAAATAAATAAATAAATAAATAAATAAAAACATGTGCCACAAAATTCAGTGAAAACTCTCAGGTCTCCATCAGAACATTTACTCTGGAGCTGCGATTAATTCAAAGATTTCTGTTCTCACTGCTGATGACCTGCAGTCAGTTTTATTTATTTGGTCAGATAAAGAGTTGACATTACAGGAATCATACAGTATTGTGCAGCTACAGTGATGTAAGAATTAAACGCTCACCTATTAAAAAGAAAAAAAAATATGGCTATAAAAAAACAAGTATTTTTAGGAGTCTTCAAAGCTTTTCTGAAAGAGACAGGGGTCCTCCTACTTAAATAACCTTCGGTTTGTGTTTTCAGCATCACTGTGGAACCAAAARTAAAAACAATCTAGTGCGAGACAGCCTCGGGCTTCTGTTGTTTTGACAGCTATGAAACAGATGTTGTGAGGGGAGATATCATCACGGATAATTTGCTGGAGTGACAACCAGGCTGAGCAAATTAAATAAAAACACATGAAAAGTTAACCTCAATTAAGCTGCTGTTACAGCTTTTCACTAATCTGGATAACTGGACTGAATTAAATCTGCACAATACACATGAGAATTCACACACTAGTACATGTCAATACTGTTTACATGCGACATAAAACGCATTCCTTACGTTGTAAGGAAATTGAGTTATAAGTTTTCAGATCATCAGTGTACAATTAATGACTTCAGATGACAAACAAAGCTTTGAAGGTTTTTTAAAGCAATAATCCAGACTGAAAGTCATTTGAATTCTAAGCAGATGTGCACTAGAGAATCAAAACACAACAGCTTCATCTGCGCAGTGACAGCTCTGTGATCAGCAGCAACATATTCAAGTCACAAAGATTAAAGAGCTGCTCCCTCTGGAAATACATCAGCTGAAGCCCTCCGTTCACTCAGAACTCCTCCCATTACTTTATTTTTTTTAGTGTCAACATTTTCACCTTCCACATTAGTCTCCATCAGTCACTGTTGTACTGAGCAGGTGGTTAATCATCAGGTGACACTGATTTTTATTGACTCTGAAGGGCCTCACTGCCCCTGTAGATAAACACAACAGTTCACTTACAGAATGGACCCTCGATTTGGAAGCGAGCCAAACGGGCCCACCTGTGTGTCAGACAACCTGTAGGACTGTCCCTGCAGGGACGRCTTTACTTTGTGCAGAGAGGAAATTTGTTTTAGCGTTACAGTTTCTAGGTATAGAACTAAAGATTTTATAAAATAAACTTTTTGTTGCTCAGGGTTAAGGCTCTAGACAATTAAGGGGATTTGGCACATCTGATTGTCAACTTTGTATTTTTATGCCCTTTGATACTGCGATATTGACACCTTTTCAACATACCATGAAGCCCATTTTTTTCACATTAACCAACATGTATCAAACTCAAGGCCCACAGGTCAGATGTGGCCAAACACTGCACTGAAGTGGCCCGTGAGAGCTTCAAAGACGTATTAATGTCTTAAAATGAGCATATGCTGCTTTAAAATCAGCACTGACCATAAACTACATCTCCCATAATGCATGTTGATTATTTTACAAGCAAAACGACAGTATCCCACCACTAGATGATGGTGTACAGGAGTCAAAAGTAGCCAGCAGCTGGCAAAATTTACAGTATAAAATCTCAATTTCACTGCATCTTCACTGGCTACTTTTGCTGCAGCCCAGTTGTACTGGGAGGTGGGAAAGTCCCACTTCCAAGTCATAAATTTAAACTGGAACACCCCTCCAGTGGGAATTCCCTGTTGGAAAGTGGGATAGTTCAGAATTCAAGACAGCAGCTACTCACCACAACCTAACAGTGAGTAAATCTCTCTTACTTTTACTTTAAATCTTATTTTCTGTGTTATTTATTTCACATTTAGTCGTACTCATAGTACTTTTCAATGTCTATGAGAGGACGTGTTAAAACACTGTTTCTATGCAGGGAATACCATGTAGAGCCGTTGTTTGTTAGCAGTGCTCAGCCGTAGGAATGAGAGACGTCTCGGTTTTGTGTTTAGCAGAAGTTAAAGCTGCCCCTTTGAGGGCCACCATAATGCTCACATGGCCCATTGTGAAAATGAGTTTGCAGTTTACTTTTCCCCAACTAAGGAAGCAAATGTTATAATCTCACGGATCAAACTAAAGCCAGCCAGACTACCTTGATGTTGCCCTCAGCTGAGCCACTGATGAAGCAGTCCTCGGTTGGATCGACAGCCAGCGCTTTGATCGGCGAGTCGTGGGCCTGAAAGCTCTGCCGCTGGTTCCGCAGGGGAAGCTCCAATATGGTGATCCAACCTTTCCTCCCGCCGGTGAGAAGAAGCTGCTGCCTCGGGGCCATGGAGAGCACGGTGGCACCGGACTCGTGGCAGTAAAATGCTGCAAGGAGAGAACACGACAGAGTGTCGGACCGAGTGTGATGAGGAACGAGGAGGAGGAGTATGATGTAGGATGAGGAAAAAAAACGTGTAGAATCAAACTAAAAATGTTCAACTTTTGTTTTTTGTTATTTTTAAAGCAACCTAAAGAAATTTGATCTGCTTTTTCAGCAATTAGTTTCTTAAGTTTACAGTTGAAAATTTGATTTTCTGATTGTTTTAGTCAATAATGAGTTTATTTTTGAAAGTCTAAAATTTACTGTGAATATATAAACTGTACTCAAAAGACGAAAGAATTGGAAAATATAAATATGCTGTTGTTCCTATCAAAATGTCTTATCCACAGTTATGTCTACTTTATTAAAACATGAAACTAATTAGCTAAAGTTTCCATTTTAAATAAATTTAAAAAACTGTCAGAGCTGAACTATCCTCTGAATAAAAGTTTGAACAACATGAGACAAAAGACCTGCATTCATAAAAGACATTTTAAAACTTAGCTGGGCTCATATTGGGCCTCATGCGAGAACCGTTCGTAAGCACAGATTTGTTATTAAGTTGTGCGTACGAGTGATTTAGGAGAATTTGTGGCATTCACCAATGTTTTCGTATTCTAAGATTTTYTTCAGATACGAACAAAATTCACGAGTGGTCCAGACCTGTCGTATATTTTACGAGCAGTCAGTCTGCTGTTATCCAGATGGGTTTTCCTCCCTAATAACTTTATATTTCGTTAGTTTGATAATATTTTGAGTTGAAAATAAATTACACTCTATAATTATGTTGACAATAGGCTATTCTGCTTGAATTAGAGTTATAATTTTAAATGTAATAATTTAGACTAACTATATAAATTGTCCGGCCGGCTTATCCGCTATCACGACCCACAGGAGACACGACATTAACAGCAGTAGTTATCTCATTCCATTCTTTGGCTTTAGCTGGTCCTTTAATTCCACGACTGACACTGCTAAAAAGGACAGATTTTCTTTTCTGGATCTCTGACAGACGGACTTCAATCTCTGAACTCGTAAAGTTCTTCTTTTTAATTTTCGCTGTCATTTTCATGAATGGACACTTCCTTGTATCTGAGGCAGGAAACATAGCCTTATATGGTGTTTTTGGGGTGGTAATTATGCTAATCTCCTCTCGCGTGCACGAGCAGCTGGATAGAACAGGTGTAATTTACGCAGCTCATTTACGCACGTTTCCTGAAGATAGAAGAGTTTGTTGAATCTGACGTGACATGTTTGTACGAACCCTTCGTACGAACAAAAGTAAGAGAAATTTAGGATAAGAATACGAAAATGTTCTTGCATGAGGCCCAGTGTGTTTTACAATGTGGACTAAAATCATAACTATGTTCTTTTATATATAACTGATGTGAAAGATTCTGCTTGTTTGAGTAAAGTATTTCTGGAAAATCAGATTTTATTCTTTCAGAGAAAAGATCTGCATGAAGACAAAGATAAAGGCTTGGATCCTTTTTGAAGAGGCTGTTTTAAATAAATCAGTTTTTTGTGTGAGGTCTCACCGTGAACCAGGCTGTTTGCAGGAGTGACTAAAGTGTCCCACAGACACACGTTCCTAAGGAGTCAAAAGAAAAATAATTAAAACGACCATTTCCTAATCATGACACACGTCACGGGTTTTATTCGCACCAAATGAACGAATGCGACTAAAATAAATTCAGCTTTCCAAACGTGAAGTACCTGTTATCTGTTGAGAGACCTGCAGTAGCAATGAGGGAGGAAGAGCCCACAAAGACGAAATCGTGAGCGGTTTTGTTGTGACAGTGCAATGTCTGGGAAGAAATACAGAAATCAAATCGTAAAAAAATAATTAAATAAAGCGATAAAAATGGTGAAACGTGAGATTAAATCAGCTGCTACCAGATATGGTTTGGGTGTATTCCCACTCGTGTTGGTCTGCCAGAGGCTCAAACTTCCATCAGCATCAACAATCCCAAACTACAAAATAAATAAATAAATAAATAAAATAAGCAGGCAGAAAATACCAGATTGTTATAACTGAGCAAAAACTCTCCTTTCAAATCTGTTGGACGTTAAACTGCTTCCAGAGGATTCAGACTGTGCTAAAACTACCAACTAAACCTCACTTTTCTCAATTCAGGATGTGGACAAAATTCTTGTAAAAGGTTTTGTGAAGAGTTTAAAAGCTAAACATGAATAGGTTCTGTGGGCTGTGTTATTTGTGATGCAGGATCTCGCCGAGTTTTAGCTTCTTTACAAAAACAGCATCAGAATGTTATTTGGGGAGATTTAACGTCCTTTGGGTCCATTCTTAGACCGGGTTTTCAAGGTCCACAGCTGCTCTGTGTCGCTGTCATGGGGTGCGTTTGGTCTTCAGAAATATTTAAGTAGGTGGTACAAGAGTCAGATTAAATCCTCACAAATGACAGGAAGTAAAGTATTTCCAGCACAGATTTGCATATTAACAGCATGAGCACTTTTACTAAATTTACCTGAGAGAGATTAGAAAATAGCAGCTGATCTGTTCAAGTCCTGCTTCCACGACTACAATTAAGTGTTCTGGCCCAATTCTCTCTCCCTTTTTTTTTCTTGGCCAAAAACAAGATAAGATAGTACTGGCACAGGATGAGATACCATTTGAGAAAATTATTAGCTGGAGGCTGTGGAGTTCCAAACGCTGGCTTTATTCAGCTCAGTAACAATGTGTACTGGAGATGAACTTCCCCTGTGTGGTGTGCCCCAACRGCACATCTGTGACAGGAAATAGGAAGATGCTTCTAAAAACATGACTGTACGCCGAGTGTGACGGCGGTATTCACTGTTCCAGAATACACAGAGGGCAGAGAGCGTGTTTCACCACCTTGTTTCCTTGGTGGTTGAATCGGATCCGGGTGACTCTGGAGTTGCCGGGACTTCTGAAGCAGATGATCTGCTGGGAGTGACCCCACTCGAACATCCTCACGCTGCCATCTTGAGCTCCTGTCAGGTCTGACAAACAGGAAGAACGAAGAAATAAATAAATTAAAAAGGCTATTTTTTTCAGTTTTTTTCTTGTCCCAACACGACATTCTGTTTACTCCCCTAAAAATCACCCACTGTATAAYTGATAAAGGAATCTTCTCATTTAAAGATGCTTCAAGAGGCACCTTTTGGACATGCTGAGAGTTCTACCACCCAAACTCCTCCTCGCTTTGAAGTTTTAGAGAGAAACACAAAAGTGTAGCAAGAGAGCTCACATTTTTTAGATCAACAGCAGAACAGGGAACAAAAGAACGAGAGAGAGGAGGGAAAAAATGTGTTGCTGAATACTTAAAGAGAAACTTTCCGGGTGATGTAATCATCCCCGAAGGCTGTTAGTACAAGAATCTGGTGTCTGGATAGCACTTTTAAAGAGGCAGTGGCTCGTCTTATCTGCTGACAGCCATCAGAGCTGTACTTACAGTACGGAAGCGTGGGATGGGAGGTCATTCTTCGCACATTGTTGATATTTCTCTTGATCATCTGGGAAAAGGAAAGTGAAGAGTAGGAGGAGAGTTTTTTATTGAGAAGACAACTATTTGAATAGAAAAYCATTTTCTGAACTCTTAAAAAAAATGAAGAGTTTAATTTATTTAACCAAGTTCTAAATGGTTCCACTAAACAAAGATGAGCAAATGTAAAGCAATTTACTTAACTTGGTTTAGTGGAACCAGTTTGGTTAGGTAAATTCAGTAAATTTCTTTCTTATAACGCATATAAAAGTACTTTTACTTTCCCGATTATTGTTTGAAGTTTTTTGACTTTTACTTAAAGTACTTTTCTTATCAATGAAACTCATTTTTACCAGTCATTTTCTGTTGAGGTATTTTTTTCTTTTCTTCTTTGGCCCCTGTCTCTTTCAAAACCTCCTACCATTTCTGACACWCCCACTTCAGCATGTCTTCACAGCAATGCTTCATTACTACCTTTCATRCGAGTGTTGTATTTTGTTGTATTGTTGTACGTAGGGTTATTTTTGAATTGAGAATAAAACTTAAGTGGTGACTGACTCTGGAATAGATAAAACCTGAATATCTTTGAATAGCAGACTAAAACTTTGAACAGAAAACCTTCCCCACCAATTAATCAAATTCTGGACCAGAGAAAAAAAAGATCTTGGACAAGTTTATCACAGAGATATTCCTAGAAAATATTTCCAGTGTTACTGCAAAAATGTATATGTAACGTTACTAAAAYGATGTGGAAAACAAAATAAAGACTTCCTGTTTTTTTAGCTACTTATCTTTTAAAACATATTTATAATTCAGCATGTTTTTATTTCAGTTTGACCAGTTCATTAGTCACTATTCAATATTGTTTAAGCCACATTATAGACAGTTAATTGTTCCAATGCAATGCGAAATAAAATCAGTTTAATATATTGTAATTCAGTCAGTATTTTCCATTTTTCATTTTGACAGTTGACCCAGAAAAGCTCAAATTAACCAAATTGTCAGCTTAAGGTTTTGTTCATTTTTCTCAAAATGTTTTCTCCTCAAAGCTTCAGCAAACTTTTTGGTAAATCTGAATTAAATCAATCTTCCACCTGGCTGCAAATGCCAAGTTTCTCTGCTCAGTAAAAACACAGAGATTTCTATATATATATAAAAAAAACATGAAAGCTACAGATTAGAGCCTAGTTTCTCACAAGCAGGCAACAACGTCTCAGTTCCTTTGTGAATCAATGAGGGGAACTAATGTTAGCAGCCAAGACGCTTTTGGCAAACTGGGCGCAGACAAAGATGAATTATTAATGTAACTTATTTGAACTGCTTTGAGGATTTTGCTTTGAGTACAAAAAAGGGCCAAGCAGAGCAAAAAGACAACATCAATTATTTCCAGAAGAGCAGCAGAGAGAGTATTAACCATGTAAAGTCTTGGCTTCTTCACTGTATGCAAGCAATCGCTCCCATAACGTCTGTTTTTGGACAAACAGCAGGGAAGGGAAAAGTACTTCAGTAAATATTCAACTCCTTACAAATTTTCTCTTATTTTACCATCCCTTTCCAAAAGTGACAGATACGCTGCACATCAGTAKCTATGTTTACATGGACACAAGTAATGGGAACAAACAGCCAATTGGAATAAAAATGTGTCATGTAAASAGAATATTTTGATCTGATTCAGCTCGATCAGAATGAATTTGTAATCTGAATGAGAGGCGTGGTTTATGCCGATTGATAACCTGAACAGCGTGCATGTAAACACTTATTGTGGATGTGGATAACTGATCTGACCGCGCATGTATGCCCTGTGTCAACCTAACATATTTCAACTTGGCTAGATGCTAATATGTCRGGGAAGTGAAATTGGTCAGTTAGTGATACAATATTTTTATTAGAAATTATGAAAGAGCTCAAAATTATTGAACACCTTGATAGCCGAAAAGTGTAGGAACATGGAGTTATTTTAKTGTTTGTTTTAACATTTGTTTATGTTCATTACAGAAGTAGAACTTATATTACTTATATTTAACTGTATTACTTAAAGTTGACTGTGTTTTTCATAGGGAAAGTTTACAACTGTAACACATGTAAACATAACAACTGTCACAATCTGATCTTTTTAAAATTTGAACATATCTGCTTAAACCAGGGTTGTCAAACTCAGGTCCTGAAAGGCCCATATCCTGCATGTTTTCCTTGTTTCTTTGCTTCAACACACCTGATTCAGTGCTTCAATAAACTCCTTAAATTCTGTAGAAGCCTGTTAATCATCCATTCATGCAAATCAGGTGTGTTTGAGCAGGAAAAAAGAAAAAACATGCAGGACAGCGGCCCTCAAGGACCGGAGTTCGACACCTGTGATTTAAACCCTACAGGTAAAACTTTGTATTTTAATTAAATAGTATGACTTAAACTTTGGAGAAAAGTTCCTTTGTAAAGATTTAATATCAGAATATCTGTCGTCCTGCTCAGTTATTTGCAGCAACAGCATCTGTCAGAGTCTTCAATGTGAATTCACCAAACAGCTGCGTCTAAGTTTGTTACCATTTAAAAACAGAGATTTGGAGCTTACCACCGATGCCCCCCTGCCCGTCTGTTGACCTCCGAGCCAGGGCACATTGATGGGTGTGCCCGGGCTACTGTGGGTGTACGGCGTGGTGCCGTGGAGCGAAGCAAAATCATCRCGTGCATGGACCACCAGGAAGTCATCTCCACCAAAACTAAGGGCGAAAAACAACAAGACAGATAATCAAATAACTGAGCTGTAGAATAATTTTATGGCAACTTAACAGCCTCCTATATAAATCCAGCTACAGTTTCAGGTAAAAAAAAGGAAAATTATGATGTAGAAAAACAACTAAATAAATGTAAACTCCAAGTCTAAGCAGGAGCTTGAACCCAGGACCTTCTGTTTGTAAGGAATCAGTGCTAACCACTAAACCATCATGCTGCCCAATGATGTCACATTTAAAAGATTGATCACACTAAATGAATCCACCGCGTTTGTTTTAAAATAAAACCCGACTGTTCTTTGAGATTACGTTTTAACATTATGCGCAAGAAGGGTACTAATTAAAAATGAATTTATATAACTTGCACTACATTAACACCATCTAAAATCCCATGAACCATCTCCCGATCCATTAATAAACCAAATCACGTTGTCCCATGCTGACACTCAGCTGAGCTCAATTAGCGTTGGAGTGAAAAGGTGAGCTGATATTACTATCACTGAACTCAAGAGGTCTCATTAAGCTCGGTATGAATAYGCAAATGTGGCCACAGCACACAGGTTTGCTTTCTTACGTTTTGGCTTCAGTCTCGTCGTCATCGATCCATGTCAGGATCTGTGTGGCCAAGATGGATGACACATCCAGCTCCTGAATGTCATGGGTGGAGGCCATGACTAAACAGTTACGGTTTGCCTGGGAAGCAAAAACAATCAGTGAGGAGAGAGACAAAGAACGGGGGAGTTAGGAGAATAATAGGCAGAATCTGAAGGAATACATTTAACTTCTACTAATCAAGTCGACTGACGCCCCCTTCCTTCAGCACAGTCCTCTGATTGTTATACATACAAATAAATCAGAAGGATGTCACTTGTATAGTGCTTTATTTTAAACCCAGTTGTGTCCTCTTGTCTTAAACAACCACCTCTTTCAAATGCAGCGGCTGCAGTGCAGTACTAAAAGACTTCAGGAATATTTCAGTATGGTACCTAGTGTGAAGTTTGTGTCCAAACTATCACCCACAAGTGAAAAAATAAGACCTTTTTTGGGCTACATTTTGCCTTTGATAGTAAAACTACCCAACTCTTTGCTTTTAATGATAGTCTGAGGGTTGCTTGAGTTTAATCTTAGTCAACATCAGCAGTAGTAAAAAGACAAATTCAAGCAAAGCAGCCAGAGTCCGAGACGTTTCTGATTTTCAAACAGCAGCACCAGAACAGGACTTGATGCAGAAAGTGTGTGCTAACCAAAAAAAGTTATTTTTGCAATGACTTTAGAAAAAAACAGTATGCCGGTAAGTGTTAAAAAAATAGTTCACCCAAGTTACCATTTAGTCATGTGTAATGCACTTCTAGTATAATGCAACCCTCATTTTTTTGTGCTTAAAAATAATTAAAAAGATCAAATCTGCCTTTGTAACCATGCATTTCAGACAGCCTTCAGGATTTTTCAGGCTTTGCGGTGCACCCTTTGGTGGGTAAACATTGTTTAGAAACACACTTGTGGGCGTGTTTGTTCCAGCTGAGGAGCAGCGCAAGCTTCTGGCTCCGTGTTTCACTGAAAACGATTTGCTCCCAGAGCAGAAGCTGGTTGTTAAATTAGCAAGATCAGATCAGAGCACGAACAAGCAACCAACGTCCACATCTTCTTTCCATCACCGCAGTTAACAGGAATTATGAAAACATTTGTTCCTCCTCTGACTCCATGAGTAAACTACTGTTGTTGTGTATTTGCTTTGATATGTGCAACGTAAAGCGGGAGAGAGAAATTATGATGATTTATCCCCCGAGACAATATTTCAGTTATATACAAGAAAATATTGAAATTTGCAGTGGTCAAAATTTACTACCCCACTTTCCGGATGATTTCTGGGGTTATATTTCTTACATTATGCACTCATAAATACAATACACAGCTTCTTTGTTTACAGTTTTCATAAGCATTATACAATATTTAGGAGTTCAATACCAGAAAAAGGTGTTGAGAATACTGCTTTAGCTTCTATTGTTTTAATAAATCATGACGTTACTGAGCAAAAGTGATCTGATTTGATACAGTATAAGTTTAAACTGGGGGAAAAAATAGCCCCTGCCATGAAGTGTTTTACGTTTTCAGTGATGTCTGCATTAAAAATTTTACCTTGTTGATGGCAAAGGCTGTGATGATGTCAGATTCCTTGTGGATGATGCGTGCTTTGCCTCCAGCACTGCCCAGATCTGACTCAGTCTGTGGTGCGCAACACACACACACACCATGGAGATTTAATAATTACAACAGAAACACTGACAAACATTTCCTGCAGACATAGAAATGTCATACAATCCCCGTTTCACTTCCTTTTGAACTGCAGAAGACATAAGGTAGCTGAACAAATTAATTGTCAAGTCATCTTCAATAAAATATATTTGTCAAGTTAATTCTATAAACTGTAGCTTATGTTTCTGTAGCAGAGGCGGTTAAGTTGCATCAAGCCTCACTGTTAACCACAGAGACCAATATAAATAACTTAGTACCAACAGATACGCACAAAACCCCTAGAGCAACGAGAAAAATGTTAGCACATCGACTCACTGACTGACAGAGATCTTGTGGGATGTATACAGCCCCACAGGCTCTTACTGTTGCTCTGCATATCAGAAAGAAAAGTTTGAATTTGATGCCAAAGTTACTTAGGACTGAATTAGTCTTCAGCCCATTCAGTCAGAAGGAAAAGAGTGTCCTTCTTTATCAGAAAGACAGACGTAAAATAAAAGGCGACTTGCAGAAATCTAAAAATGGTGTTTTGCCATTTGCACTAGCACATAATCCCTGTAGGTTGCAGATTCACTGCGACAGTGTTGGCCCATTAAAGTGAAGCTGTTAGGCTTCATAGCCCATCCTCTAAGAGACTGGGTTAATTACCACTGAGCTAAATGGAGTACCTATAATGTGGCAGCTTTCACAGCCAGAACCAGAAGATTAGAACACTTCTATACWGCGTCGGTGAGCAGTGTGATTTAAGATTTATGGCTCACGTTCACATGAATATTTAGACTGTTGAATGTAAGATTTATATCCAACCCTGACAGGAACATACTGAGATCACAGCCTKGAAAACAGCATGTCCTGTAAGCCTGTCAAAATTCAAATTTAACATTTAATACTGGAATTACCAGGTCACTTTGCCACTAAAATGGAGATGACAATTACATGAAACGTGTGCATATTCCCTCAGAAAAGGTACAGTTTGTACAGACTAATGAGCAGAGGTGATTTAGGTTACATATAAATTGTCATATATATGCAGAAAGTAAACAGCAGAATACAAATTACTGAATAAAACCTTTCACTAAAAAAATTTTGGTCTGCAAACTGCAATGCTTGTGGGCTATTTTTAGAGGGTCCACGTTGAGCAAACAAGCTTTACAGCTTCAGATGAGGTTTTTAAAGCATCTTGAAGAAAAAAATCATGTTATTACTTATAAAAACAAATATCTGGTTTGCTATCACTTAATAGAAGTTACAGTATACTTTTCTTACTCAAAGAAACTAGAATATTTAAAGGGGCAATATCATGTAAAATCAACTTTTTTGAGTTTTATATCATGTTATAATGTTATACTCTCATAAAAAAAACATGCCCAAAGAC